AAAAAACAGCAAACTCATCAAACTGACACCATTTATGGATGACAATGGTTTTCTAAGAATGAACGGCCGTGTTGGTAACGCCGAAATGCTTGAACAAAAAATATCCATCATTTTGCCAGCCGATTCACCTTTGACTCGACTCATCATTCAAGACGTACACCAAAAACAAGTATTACACGGTGGAGTGCAATTGACTTTGCGTGCTTTACGCGACCGCTTCTGGATAATACACGCACGCAACCAGACGAAAAAACTCATCAACAAATGCATGGTATGTTATCGCACGAAGAAGAAATTGCTCACACAGCAAATGGCCGAATTGCCATCATTCAGAACACAACAAGCCCGACCATTCACATTCGTGGGCACCGACTACGCTGGATATTTTGAGATTAAAACTAGTGAACGTCGCAATGCTCCCATCGCAAAAGGATACGTTGTTTTGTTTATCTGCTTAACAACGAAAGCCATTCACCTCGAGCTTGCCTGTGATCTTTCATCGGCCGAATTCATCATGGCTTTGGAAAATTTCATTGCACGTCGTGGAATTCCAACTGAATTGTGGGCTGATAACGCTACTAATTACACCGGCGCTGAAAAGGAAATTCGTATTTTGCATGATCAAATGTTGTCCCAAACGAACGAATTAACTCGACTGCTTTCGAACAACCGCATCACCGTCAAACATACGCCGGCACGAGCTAGTCATATGGCTGGCATTTGGGAAAGGGCAGTTGGAATGATGAAATATCATTTGAAGCGCGTCATGAAAGACACAAAGTTGACCGCCAGAAGATTCGATCACGTTTTAAAGCAAATCGAATGTTGTCTTAATTCCAGACCGTTGTGGTCGGTTTCACCGAATAGCGATGATTGCGAAGTAATCACGCCATCTCATTTCTTCAATTTTCAAGCCATAAATTCGTTGCCAAGACCCGATCTTTCTCACATACCCATGAAAAGATTGGATCAATATCAATATCTGCATCGTCTCTACTCGGACTTTTGGAAGGGTTGGTCTAAGGAATATCTCGATCAACTACAAGCAAGGCAAAAATGGGCTAAAGAAGAGCCCAACGTTCGAATCGGACAAATTGTTGTCATTTCCGACGACAATGTACCACCCAGCCGGTGGCCAATTGGTAAGATAACTGCAGTATATCCAGCAAAAAATGGATTGATTCGCATTGTGGACGTTCTATGTCATGGATCTGTTCTAAAGAGGCCGATACATCGTTTGGGAGTACTTCCAATCTTGGACAATTCGACTGAATTGAATCGCCCAGTTCCTGACCGCTTCAATGAGGGGGAGAATGTTGTGGATTTATTGAATTAGTTTTAAGTTCTTTCAATGTACTCAT